AGCTCTACTTCCTGGCATGGCACCAGGATGGTGTTGGGGGCACAGTTTTAAGAAATCATTCTGGATTTGGTGGGGGGGAGGGGAGTGTTTTTTTTCCTTTGTCATATTAACTCCATCTTAGACCCCTTGGACACATGAGATGGACAATATTAATAGTATTTTGGGAGAGTCTTAAAAACAAAGCAAAATAAGATTCTATAGCCAAAGAGTAATTATAGGATTGGGAGGAACCAGTAAAGAGAGACTGAAACCTCTGACTCATAATTGCTCCATTAAAAACGGTGAAACCATTTGCCCTGGCAGAGTGACAAGGCTAGACTCTCACCCTGGCTCGCCCTACCTACAGGCCTTCCTGGGGCTGGCACTAAGGCCTGGCCAAACCATAGAGTCATAAGGAGTGGCTGTCTCCAAGAACAGTGTGATGTCAGGAGAAAGGGGCCCCCACCACTTTCAGGGACAGTTCTGACTCTGTAACAACAAAGGAGTGTCTGCCTCTGTGCATGGGAGTGGGGCGGGGGAGGGGGGGAGGGTAATCATGAAGATTTGGGTTGTTTTAAAGGGACTCAACGTACCAGTTCACTGTGCCCCATTAAAGCTATAAGGGGCTGATTGGGTGGGGTGTAGGGATTACCCAAATTGTACAAATGACTCATTTATTGAGCACTTTCTGTGTACCAGGATTTGTTCTGAGTACTCTAAATTTTACAGATAAGGCTCCAAATGCTGAAGAGATCTGCCCATGGACACAGAGCTGGTAGGTGTCAGACCTGGGACCCACTTCATCTTCTAATTAACCTCAACTCTGGCCAAGGTTGCTTTCCATTTCTGTTTCTCTCCCTGTCAGGCCCCATGTGAGGTACCTCACATAGTTTCTCTCATCTGATTCACTCTATAGAAGATATAAAATCAACTGCTACCCAGGAGGCTCTTGGCCAATTCCATCCACCAAAAGCTCAACAGGCCTAGTGCTGGGCTGCAGGGTGAGTCATGGGAGGAGGAGGACAAGTCAGGTGACCCAGTGAGAATCAGAGCTATGCTGAGGTGTCCTGGTTACCTTGACATTCCTGTGATTCTGCCAAGGTAAAAAGAAACCTGAGGAGTTTGCCTTATATGGGCACAATGACAAATTTCGACACCACGTGTTAACTGATCCTGCATCAAATCCGTTCAGGATTGCATAGAAGATAAAGGTGCTCTGAAAGAATAGGAAATAACAATTTATGACAGGTGGGGCTAATTGCCGATGACTCATAAAGCAAAGGTGCAGCCCAACTGCCATTGTGTGCCTTTAGAGAAGCGGAGGGTAAAGTTAGTGGCTCCTAGGCTAAGCGGCTGTATCACTCTTCTCCCCACTCATGGCAGGGGAGGCCTGGCTTTAGACACCGCCTTCTGTTCACAGGGCCAGATTCAAGGCAAGGCCCAAAGGAAATCAATTTCAGGCTGGAACAGACCAGCAAGTTGAGGTTCAGAGACTGGGCCTCACAGGATTCCAGAGTCATTCCATCCTGGGCCCAAAATGCTGGCATCACACATCCTCCCCACAAAGGGCAAGACTCACTGCTCTAAGCCTCTCCCAAACTTCATTCATTCATTCCAATTTTAAAATGTACTGAGCATCTACTACATGCTACATACTACTCTGAGCACTAGAATTAAATGGACAAACATTCCTGCCCTCATGAAGCTTACATACTAGTGGAGGAGACAATACATAGGAAAAGAAGGTATTATATAGTGACGTGCAATAAAACAGGGTAATGTGGCAAAGAGTAAATAGAGGAGGGGGACAGCCAGATAGGGAATCAAGTTTAGCCAATCAAGGAAGACCTCTCTATGGATGGGACATTTGAGCCTGAACAAACAAAAAAAGCCAATCAACTGACAGGTAGGGACATTATTCCAGGGGGCCTAGAAGAAGAGTATTAGAGTACTCACATTGTACCTTATAGGCCAAGGGGGTAGGCAGTAAGGGCCTCCAGGAAGCCTTTGGAGGGTCTCACAGGGGAAATAGTAATATGAGCAGATTTATGGTGTGGGAAGATATTTCTGGAGGCCATGTGGATGGCAGGGTTATAGCAGTGAAGATGGAGGGAGAGAACTTTGAGGGCAAAGCTGCTAAGATTTGCTATCCTTTGTCAAAGCACCTCCCCTACCCTGCCCCCCCCCCCCCCCCACACACACACAGAACCAGAAGGCTCCATAGTATGAAGACACATCCAATGGGCAGACCCAGGACATCCCATCTTCTTCAAAACACATAGGCCTAAGAGTGAACCACGGGATACTTCATTCAAGGGTAACAGCAGTAGATGGAACACTTCCTTCAGTGAAGTGGAAGTTATACCAAGGAGTGATTTTCTTTTTTCTTTCTTTTTTAAAATATATTTTATTGATTTTTTACAGAGAGGAAGGGAGAGAGATAGAAACATGGATGAGAAACATCGATCAGCTGCCTCCTGCACGCCCCCTATTGGGGATGTGCCCGCAGCCAACATACATGCCCTTGATCGGAATCGAACCTGAGACTTTCAGTCTGCAGGCCGATGCTCTATCCACTGAGCCAAACCGGTTTTGGTGCAAGGAGTGATTTTCACACAGCATTCCCAAAAGAGTGTTCTTGAGGGATGCCAGAGGTAAAAATAGGTGCCCCTACTCAAATCTAACCTCAGCAACTCTTTTTGTTGTCTTTCTTTTCCAAATCTAGCAGCTCTTTTTTTAAAAAATCTATTTTATATTTAATCTACTTTATTACATGAAACTAAACTTAAAAAACAGTTGTGCTATGGAAAAATATCACTGCTTTAAATCTTAAATCCTCCATGCCAAGTCAATTCCAAAGGATTGTGGCTCTTTTCACAGTAGACTGAGGAGAGGACAAGGCTCTGCCAGGCCAAGCTATGGAAGGGGAAAGAGTAGTTTCTGATCTCTCCTCAGTTAGTGGCAGGAGGATGGAGGAAGGCAGACACCACATGTGCTACTGTTCTGGTCTGAGATGGCTGAGACCTTCTGTAAGGTACAGCAACAAACAAAGGGAAGTCAAGAAGGCCTGTATCCCAAAGTTCCCCCAATGTCTGGCCTGCTGCCTACAGATGGGACCTGACAGGGAGAACCAGAACCAGATAATGGCAACCTGAATTCATGCCAGGGTTGCCCAAAGTTGTCCAGTGGGAGCAACTTCCATAGCATCCTCTCCTAAGAACAAGAAGAACAAGAACAAGAACAAGAACAAGAACAAGAACAAGAAAAGAAGAAGAAGAAGAAGAAGAAGAAGAAGAAGAAGAAGAAGAAGAAGAAGTAGTAGTAGTAGTAGTAGTAGTAGAGGAGGAGGAGGAGGAAGAGGATTTAAAAAAAGAGAACTGCTAGATTTGGAAAAGAAGAAGAACTACTAAAGAGAGAGTGAATAAGAAAGCCTCAGTTTATTTAACTAAATATCTGTTAAGGTGAAACTTGCTTTCGAGTAGCTAGCTTCCCATCTCCTGGGGAACCTGAGCATCAGAATAGCTAGTAAAGACAGTCACAACCAAGAGTTTGGGGAGATCCACAGAACCTGCCAGTCCTACCCTGGAGGAGTGCATGGTCTGGCTGGAGAGAGACACTGTGAGCCAGTCCCTGCTGGGCAGTGTGATCCGAGGACAACAGAGGTCAGGTGACACCTGATCTGGGCCATGAAAGAGGAGAGCTATTTCGATAGGTGGTGACCTGGGAAGAAGGTTGTTCCCTGTAGTGGGAACATCAAGAGCAAAAAAACACACGAATATGCAGAAGATATTTGGGGATCTCAAAAGGAGGTGACAGGAGATGGTGTCAGTTGGGGATCAGAAGGTAGAGAAACCAAAAAAACTAACATTTGTTCTCTGGATAGTGGGGGGATGGGAAGATTTCTCAGTGACCTGGTTAGATATGAATCTTGGAGAGATAATGTTCATGGAGACGCTGAGGTGAATTAGGAGACTGGAGTAAGCCAGTTAAGAGCTGCTTCAGGAGACCTGAGCACAGGAATGATGATGATGGCGGTGGCGGTGGCTATGGCGGCGGCAGCCAACAGCAACCCACTTCCTGTGTGATGGACATGGTACAAAAGGCACACACGTACTAACACACTTAAGTCTCACCACAGCCTCTGGAGGCAGACATTATCCCCACAGAGTGGTTAAGGCATTCTCCCAAAGTCACACAGCTCAAGGTAGCAAGTGGCAACACTATAGTTTACACCTAGGCTCTCTGATTTTAGAATTTGCACTTTTAAGCACCCACTATGTGGTCCTGATTTAGGTTAACAGTAGTAACAAACAAAAGAAAAAAGGGCCAAAACCGGTTTGGCTCAGTGGTAGAGCGTCGGTCTGCGGACTGAAGGGTCCCAGGTTCGATTCCGGTCAGGGGCATGTGCGTTGGTTGCGGGCACATCCCCGGTGGGGGGTGTGCAGGAGGCGGCTGGTCAGTGTTTCTCTTTCATCGACGTTTCTAGCTCTCTATCTCTCTCCTTTCCTCTCTGTAAAAAATCAATAAAATATATTTAAAAAAAAGAAAGAAAGAAAAAAGAAAAAAGGTTAGGATCCTGAGAGACATATAAAAGAAAAAAACTTGGTTCCCATTACAGACATGGTGAGGATAAAAAATGATTCCAAGGTTTTGGACTTGGATGACTAATGTCAAACTTGGGTATGGAGAAGCCAGAGAGGGACTGGGAAAAGAGTTTGATTGGGGACATGCTGAAAATGAGGTATGTGCTGCACAATCAGCATCTTTCAGAAACTGACGTCTATGCCCAGCTGGCGTGACTCGGTGGTTGAGTGTCAATCTACGAATCAGGAGATCATGGTTTGATTCCTGGCCAGGGCACATGTCTGTATTGTAGGCTCAATCCCCATTGTGGGGTGTGAAGGAGGCAGCCAATCAATGATATTCTCTCATCATTAATGTTTCTATCTCTCTCACCCTCTCCTTTCCTTGCTGAATTATATGTGTGTGTGTGTGTGTGTGTGTGTGTGTGTGTGTATTTTAAGACACTGAAGTCTAAAACTCTGCAAGAAGGTCATTTATTCACACGCCTTCATTCCATCACTCATGCAAACACTTCCTAAGCTTCTCCGAAGGCCGGACATAGTGATGGTGCTGGAGATACAGGGAGAAATAAGAAAAGGGTCTTCCATGAAAGACCTCCCAGTCTAATAAAGGAAAGAGGCATGCTAGTAAGCAATTGCTCTGGAGAGTAATAAGTGTATCAGGACTAGAAACATGGGAGTTATCCACAGAGGCGTGCGGCTTATGACTAGGGAAGGGTGGGCAGATAAAATCCTCCAGGGAAAGGATATTATGGAATGTCCACATTTAAGAAGCAAAATTCAGAGACAGGGAATGAGAAGAGTCAGAGAAACAGCAAGAAGGTCATGTCAAGGAAGGCAAAGGGAGGCATTTTGAGTTTGTGTCTGAAGAAAATGGTCAGAAGCATCAAGTATAACTAATTATATCAAAAACATGTACATTGAAATCTATTAGAAACATACTAAAGCACTTATAGGTGATGGTTGGGATTGTCTAAAATTCTCTAAGGAGGGAATTGTTGGGAGAAACTGATAAAACAAGTATGGCAAAATGCTGATAATCGTTGATGCTAGGAGATGGGTACACAAGGATTCTCTCTTCGTGTGAGTGTGTGAGTGTGTGTGTGTGTGTGTGTGTGTGTGTGTGTGTTTAAGGATCATGCATTGCAGAGAGTTTGAGAAGGCAGGGCCTACCATGGGAGGTGCCAAATACATCCTGACTAGGTGGTGTTGCACACACACCCTCGGAATGGAAGTCTTTAGAGATCTCAGAGAGCGGACTCAGGGGAGCTGAGAAGTAATGGAATCAGTGAGCACCAATTTCCGAGTATGTTTCTTTTTCCCAGGGTAGAACCCAACTTGTGGGCCATCCGGCCCCTTTCTATTTTCCTACAAGGACAGATCTGCCTGCTCTTACTCCTCTTCCGGCTTCAGATTCCCAGTAAGTTCCCTGTGTTCCCCTCCTTATGTTATCAAGTAAAGGCCTTTTCAAAGGCCTATTGGAGCACACCTTACTATTGTCAAAGGAACAAGCCACCTCCTTCTCACTTTTCTCCTCTCCTGCAGAACAAAGTTGCATTTAAAAGGAGAAACAGTCTCAGGTTTTGTCTTCCAAACAGAGAGAAGGTCCCAGGGGCAGGGACTCAACACAGTGAGACTGATTCCCTAGCATCGCTCATGCGGCAGTGAAGGAGGTGTGGAGGGACAAGGCAGACAAAGCCCTAGGACAAGCCCGACAGCAGAGACAGGGCGGCCGTGTTGTTCTGGGTCCCATGGCCTGGAGAGCACCGAAGAGCTATCGAATTCTGCTCAACCACACCGCGTAGCCTCTATCTTTCTCTAGAGTTTCCATGGTACTGACTTCTCTGCCAATGCCCCATAAATAACAATGGCCACCAAAGATAGCCCAGACTGTGCTTCCTTTCCTGGTATTGCGAGTCTCCAGGCTCAGCTCGGGACAGGGAGATGAGTGGGCTGCCCTAGAACTCAGTATAACAGTGAGCTGGGTTTCAGGAAGGTGGCCAGCCAGCTAAACCACAGGGCTATATTTTTATGCTTTTAGCTATAGAAATAAAACACTCTATTGTCTCTTACTATATATGTTTATTTGACCTATAGATAGCAATTTCTGCATAAAAGGAAAACGTTTAAAAGGGGTGAGGAGGTCTAGCCACATGTCTCATTTTGATAGGAGAGGCTTTCTCTCATCTCTATCATCTGTGTCCCTGCGCCTAGACCCATGTCTGGCACACAGAGCCACCTAGCTTGGTAAATATCTACACAAAATAGGATGAATTCTGTTCTAACAATGATTCTCTCACCTCTCCAGGCAACAGTAATCTCCTCTTCTTTCCCCACTCAAAAAGCATCCTATTTGTGTCTCATAACTGGCAGGCACTGATACAGAACTCTTCAAGGACACCTGGCTGCCTCGAAATGTCCAGAGAAGTACTTCTTTTTTTTCTTTTTCTTTTTAAAAAAATATATTTTATTGATTTTCCACAGAGAAAAAGGGAGAGGGATAGAGAGTTAGAAACGTCGATGAGAGAGAGAAACATCAACCAGCTGCCTCCTACACAGCCCCTACCCAGGATGTGCCCGCAAACAATGTACATGCCCTTGACCGGAATCAAACCTGGGACCTTTCACTCTGCAGACCGATGCTCTATCCACTGAGCCAAACCGGTTTTGGCAGAAGTACTTCTTATGATCATGGAGCACACAGCTTAGGATAGGGCCAACTTTTAGATGGGATTCAACTGGCCTACAGAGGTAACCTGGCCTGGAAAGTGACAGCATCCTCTTTCTCCGAGGAGGGGCTGTGAGTGATCAATCTCTGCCCTTAACACTAAGCAGAGGTACTGTTCCATGGAAAGTTCTCAAATAAATGAGGGAACAGATGATGGCAGGTCCATTCTATCAGCCTGACTGGCTAACCACTGATCTGCTCATTCAATAAATATTTATTGAGCACCTATATTTTCCAGACATTGTCCTGCAAACTATGGGCAGAGCAATGGAAGAAATAGATTCAGTCTACTCTCATGGCTAATGGGGGAGGGAAGCGGAAGGGGTAAAAGGAGCAACGGGTGGTTAGAGGTAAAAAGAGAAGTGGAGGTAATAGGCATGCCACAAAGACAGAACCTAGGCCAGAGGGTTCAGGCCCAACTTCCCTACACAAAGGAATATAAACTCAGGCCCTAACCGGTTTGGATCAGTGGATAGAGCATCGGCCTGCAAACTCAAGGGTTCCAGGTTCGATTCCAGTCAAGGGCATGCACCTTGGTTGTGGGCACATTCCCAGTGAGGGGTGTGCAGGAGACAGATGACTGATGTTTCTCTCTCATCAATGTTTCTAACTCTCTCTCCCTTCCTCTCTGTAAAAACTCAATAAAATGTTTTGTTTTGTATTGTTTTGTTTTAAAAAAAGGAATATAAATCCCGATCTAAAGGGGGGATTTGGAGAGGACAGGGGTTCCACAGGTAGGAAAGAGAATGGAGCTGAGGCATCTGGTGTGTAGTGATATGATGGAGGGTAGAGAGAGGAGGCTCAAGAAAACAGATCCTACAGGGCCCAGTAGACTTCCGATTTTATCCGGAGGGCAAAGGATTCCAGTCGAGATTTCAAGCTGGACATTATGTGGAGAACGAATTGGAGCGGGGCAGGGGCTGCTGCTCACACTTCAGCATCGTGCCTGAGCCACAGCGGTTCTCCATCGGTGCTTCAGGAGCTGGAGCACCGGTTATGCTCCTGCAAAGGGACAATGAGCTACTTCAGGAGGGCCGGGGGGGACCTCAGGGCTTCCTGAGATGAAAAGCTACAACACGGGCCTTTCCGGGCCTGTCTGTGGTAAAGAACAGAAGGGCTGCCTGTTTACCTTCCATATCCGGCCCCAGAGGCCCTGCAGAGGTGGAAGGTTTCCCAGAGGGAAGGGCATATGTGGTGTTCTGCAGGACATACAATACCTCCTTCTATGGGCCCACTGGCCCCCCTCAGCAGTCTCTAGCCCACTAGTAGGACACTACTAAACAAAGCACTCGGCCTCTTCTAGCTTAGCTTCCTAGCCCAGCAATGACCAGAGTATGCTCCTAAACTACATGGGCTCCATCCACCACCCTGTGTCTGAGATAATCAAGATGAGTATGAGATTGCTGCCTCTTTCTAAGAACCTTGTTTCCTGGACCCCTTAAATGCTTAATGTGTATATACCTAGCAATGAACTTGCTAGAACTCGGTGTCACTATTCAAAGAGCAGCTGTCTTCAAATGTAGACATCATAAAACAGCTCTAAGGCCTCCTGGTTGAAGAAATGTTTCCAATTCTCACTCTCACAACCAAATCACTCCTATTGGGACTCCAGACACCATAGGATAAGACCTCATAAAACTGCATCCCAAACCCCAACACCCTCAATAGACAGAGTAATAATTAAAACAGCCACCATTGCCTTAGCTCAGTGGTAGGCAAACTGCAGCTCACGAGCCACATGCGGCTCTTTGGCCCCTTAAGTGTGGCTCTTCCACAAAATACCACATGCGGGCGCTCATGTACAGTGCGACTGAAACTTCGTGGCCCATGTGCAGAAGTCAGTTTCCGGCTCTCAAAAGAAATTTCAATTGTTGTACTGTTGATATTTGGCTCTGTCGACTAATGAGTTTGCCGACCACTGCCCTAGCTGATTTGGCTTAGTGGACAGTGTTGGCCTGCGTACTAAAGGGTCCCAGGTTCGATTCCCGTCAAGGGCACATGCATGGGTTGCTGGCTCGATCTCCAGTAAGGGGCGTGCAGAAGGCAGCCAATCAATGATTCTTTCTCATCATTGATGTTTCTATCTCTCTATCCCTCTCCCTTCCTCTCTGAAATCAATAAAAATATATAAAAATAAATAAAATAAAACAGCCACCATTTACTTGTCTCTACAAAATGCTAAACACATCACTTCACTGAGTCCTGGTATAAATACATTATCAACCCTGTATTGTAGATGAGGAACCCAAGGCTTCCTTGCCCAAAGTCCCTTCAGCAGTTAAGTCCTGGGCCAGGATCAGCACCTGAACTTCTTTAGCTTCACGACCTGTGTTCATAAGAAACCAAGTCTACAGCCTCCAATGCAGAAGAAAGCCCGAGAATGCACATGGGTCCAGCTGCAGCCTCTGCACAGCTGGGCCATGTACCCTGGGTGTCCAAGCCCTGCTCTCTCCCTGCTATGAGGCCTATCGGCTGGGCAATGAAGAGCTGGATCCATCCAGCTGACCTTTCATCAAGAATCCTTCTGGTAGCTGCTAAAACCTCTGCCTAGCACCTCATCAGCCAAAATGTACAAGACAGAAAGATGGAGTTGAGACCTTCTGATAGCTGGAGGCCTCTGCTGTCAGCCACAAAGAATGTGCCTGAGACTTTCACAAAGATCCTCCCTCTTGAGAGAGATTTTTTAGGCTTACTAAAAAGCAGTAAAGTTGCCCTGGCTGGTTTGGCTCAGTGGATGGAGCATCAGCCTGTGGAATGAAGGGTCCTGGGTTCTATTCTAGTCAAGGGTACATGCCAGGGTTGCAGGCTCGATCCCCAGTAGGGGGCAAGAAGGAGGCAGCCAGTCAATGACTCTCATCATTGATGTTTCTGACTCTCTCTCCCTCTCCCTTCCTCTCTGAAATCAAAAGAAAAACCAAGCAAGTCAAGAAGGCAACAAACACCCAAGCTAGGTTGGCTATACTCTCACCATATGCTTTTCAGACCTGGATTCACTCTTGGCTAGTTTCAGACCTTCAATTTAAAAAATATCTAGTTTGTGCTTGTCTACAAAGGAATGTAGCTGGGCACCTCCCACCAGCAACACAGAAAACTCCCACTGCCATCACCTGCTCTTTGAGATGAAGCCATATATAGACAGACAGAACCCAGAAGGTATGCTCAGAGCCAAGTTAACACCCCAACTTCACAACACTGTTTAGACAGGTTCCCCAGTGAGAGGAAGATGAAATCCCATGACTGCCATGACTAGGCTGTCCCCTCTCCACACCCCATCCGATAAAACCCAAATCATTTGCACTCTGATGGCTCTCACAGCCCTAGCATCCAAGGATCCCCGAGAACATTGAGTCTTACTACTAGAGGTGGAAAGTGAAAGGGAACAGAAACAACAGCTCAGTCCTGACCAGTCCTGATGTGGAAGAAATAACCTCAAAGGAAAAGAGTATGGATTGATTCTTAGTTCTGTTGTTTGGCTGAATGACCTTGGGAAAGTCATATAACCTTTCTGAATCTGTTTCCTCATCTGTAAGGAGGAGATAAAAAAAAAAAAAACAAGGTTGATGTGAGGATAAAATGAAAGAACAGAAGGAAATGTATTGTTTGTGTTATAAGCTCTCACAGGATCTGTCCCAACATCAAAAAAGACACATTTCCATGGTGTTCCACTTGAGTATGAGTGTAATGAGGGCAAGGATGGTCCTATCTGTCTTCTTCATAACTGTATACCCAGTACCTAAAACAGTGACTAAAATGAAATAAATATTTGTAAAATCCATGCTTTCTGTTGCATTTAGGATAAAATCCACAGTCCTTATTGGAGGTATGTTCTGGCTGCAGTCACCTTTATTACCTCATCTCACACCGCCTTCCCCACTCTGCCTCTTCTTTTCTTTTTAAGATATGTTTTTATTGATTTCAGAGAGAGAGAGAGAGAGAAATAGAAACATCAATGATGAGAAAGTCATGGACTGGCTCCCTCCTGAATGCCCCCTGCTGGGGATGGAGCCCCAAACCAGGGCATGTACTCTGACTAGGAATCCAACCATGACCTCCTGTTCATAGGATGATGTTCAACCACTGAGCCACACTAGCTGGGTGACTCTGCCCCAACTTCTAGTTCTCTCCTCTCATGTTCCTCAGGACTCTTACCTAGGATGCTCCTCTCCCAGGTTGGCTCCTGCTTACCCTCCAGGTCCCATTTCACTGTCAACATCTCAAAAAAGGCAAACATAATGGCTCTTGCCCAATCTGAATCAATTTCCCTACTCTACCCTCTTAAAGGGCTCTGCTCTTTCCCTTCATAATTTGGAACACTATATGCTTTGGATTTTGTTGTTTTTGCTGTTTAATATCTCTCTTCCCCACTGGGCTGTAAGCCCCATGAGGATAGGAACTACTGTTTTGTTCACATCTCTCTTAATTGATTTCAGAGAGGAAGGGAGAGGGAGAAAGAAATAGAAACATCAATGATGAGAGAGAACCATTGATGGGCTGCCTCCTGCATGCTCTTTACTGGGGATCGAGTCCGCAACCCAGACATATGCCCTTGATGATGGAAATCGAACCTGGGACCCTTCAGTCAGTAGCCAACGCTCTATTCACAAGCCAAAATTGACTAGGGCATTGTTCACATCTCTTTATTTGGTACCTTGTTTATGTCACATACTGGATAATTGCTCAATAAATGATGAATGGATGGATGACCCC